CTGGAGAAGTCAAAATAGTAATATTGCAGATATATCATGATGATTGACGAGAAGTAAAACACAGGCCAAAAACTTCAACGACTCATTGAATGAATCTATCCACATTTACAATTTTTTTTTCAATATAATTGCACAAAGATTATAATAGGATTCTCTGATGGCTCAATTTATTACCACAATCATAAGTTTCTTTTAGTAGTATATAAATTATCACAATCATAACGTTACATTTATTTATTTTATTGTTGTTGAGAAGATTTATAAGTCATAATAATAATACTCTTCCAATATGCAATTCCTTTGATTGAGTGTGTCCTCAGAGTATCTTATGGTCATCAACTCAGTATCTTGGAGACATCATTTGAAGAATCACAAATATATTGATTATAATTCAAAATGCAATATAGGTTAGTTCTCCTTCATTCATAAGTATGTTTAGGACTACAAATGAGTCGAGTTAAGTCATAGTCGAGCGCAGGTCAAACTTTTTCTTCACTGCTCGAGCTCGAACTCGGGCTCTACGAGCCATGTAAAATGCTGCTCAACTCGACTCGTGAAAAAAATAAGAATGCTCGACATGGCTCAATTTCAACTCGAAATTTTAACAACTAAATTTTAAATATAAAGGTACTACTTTTAATGTGAATTGACAATTTTGCCATTGATATTCTAATATGGATAATTAAACTATGCATGTATTTATGTAAATAAAAAGTCTAATGGCTCGTCAAGCTCGCGAGCTTCTTGAAATGATGCTCGAGGCTCGACTCGTTTGCTTGATTGAGCTGCTCAAGCTCGAGTCGAGTTAGAGTTTGACCGGGCTCGAGTCGAGCATTGACTCGAGCGCTCGCGAGCGGCTCGTGAACCGCCTCGACTCGTCTGCAGTCCTAAGCATGCCTCCCTCATCTCCTTCCCAAAAGTATGACCATGAAACATGCTAACAAAAACCAGAAGTTGTAAAATATGATGGCTGTAAATCAACTGAAAAAAATAAATAATGAAATATGATGCAGAGATTGAATCATATGAAATTCTAGATTATATAATTGCTGTGTATGGTCATCATATATCTTCCTTTATCATTGCACCCTGCAAGGATGGTACAGCCGTCATTTGTTTCTTGGTTTCATTTTCTCATTCTCAAGAGTCCTTGCTCAAGACCATTATAACATAGAAATAGGTCGGGGCTTATACATAAAGTAACGATCAGACCATCAACGGCGAATAAAGGTATATAAAATAAAATCTGAAGAAGAAATCACAATCGATAAATTGGAATGATCATAATATGAACATATAAACAATAAAAACTGAAGGAAACTTGGCCCCCTTGGTGTCTATTAAAACTATGTGCAACGCATACGTTATGCGTACTAATTAGTTCCAGTTACAGTATCTATGCCAACACTTGCAATCATCTTCTCTATCGTTATACAAATGTGGACTGGACATTGGGAAAAGCATCCAGAAAAAGCTTAGCATTCCCAGTAAAAAAGCCACACTTATCATACCTGAAAACCGCAGAAAACAAAGAAAAGATGAACATTGTGGATGAAAGAAGTAAGCATGTGCGAAAGAGAAACTGGATTTACTAACTTAAAGAAATGTAAATTACAACTGAAAAGAATAATCACAAAACCCCATCGAGGTTTGGCCAAACTATGCAAAAGAAAATAATGAGAAGGAAGAAATAAAACAATGAAGAGGAAAAACAAGATAAATCAATATGGGTATGGTGTTTCTGTTAGAATATCTTCTGCAAAATAACAAAAATTGAAGAGACAAAAAGACGAGCATAATAGACCCAATCTATTTTGTCACTCTGTGTGTGTGCTCGTAGAGTCACAATAGAAAAGAATGAAGGAGAAAAATCAAGTGAACGAGAGGCCAATCTACATACCAGACCTACTGGAAAATATTACAGGCAACCCCATGAAATTGCAAAATATATGAGCAATGAGTGGAGCAACTAGATGCCCTGCAATATCACAATGTATAATTAACACAGGCAAATGAGAATCAGAAAAAAATCTATGCAGACCACATTATGTTATCATGGAAGGATTACCAACCAGTACGGACAAGAAGAAATGATGCATACGCCCCAAAGATGATGGTGTACCCTAGTTGGAAACCTGAAAGAACGAGACAGATGCATAGATATGTCAATATAAATTTCTACCCGTGATCTTTACTTTCTGTAAGGAAAGCGGAAGCACGTTTATATACCTACAACTTGACAAGCTTTGGGAAAACTGCATTTTTTCTGGACATATAACTCCAGTAAGTGATTCAAATGAGCTGCAATGAAACAGGATAGTGTTGTTAATAAAGCCGTAGCAAAGAATAAGAACCTATATAACCTAAGCTTATAGATACCAAGAAATTCTGTTACAGGTTCTAATTTGTAGTTTCAGTAGGTTGATACAAACTACAGTGCTTACCTAAACTGAAAAATATTGGACAAAGAAATACCACAGTGTAGGTACTGAATCCTCCACACAGTAGCAAAGGAATCATACAAGCTCGGAATACCAACTCTTCTGTAAGTGGTGCCTGTTGAGAAACGATAAGCTCGAATTACAAAACTTTTGGAAAATCTTAGCTTTGTATGCAACCAGAATTGAGAACTCAGGGACGATTACCAGAAGCCTAATAGCTGAGCAGAAGGAAGAAAAGAAGAAAAAAAATACTATACTGATTATATTTACCAAAAGATAACGCACATAGGATAATAGTTTAAAGAAGGAATGTAGGAAAAACACTTACTTATATTATCGTTATTAAGAAGAGAAGAATACTAACCACAACATAGTTACGCCAGGCTGACACAGAGTAAGCTGTTGAAACTACCAAATCTATGATCTTCAATAAAACGCTCTTGATATATATGATTGATAGACTTCCGAGACTTAAATGCTCGTTGCTTGCATGGAACATTGATAAAAGTCTCAGAGTAAAGGTCCCAGAGTACATGAGGGAAGTCAATAAAAGAGGAAAGACCAAAGCTTGCCACTGTTAATAATACATAAAATTGCTTTCAGCCTCAATCACCCTTTTTTCTTAAATCTGCAACTCATAAAACAATATAAATAGACAACGGCACATCCAAGAATACATTGGCGTGCCTTTATATCAAAATATTGTTTTCACAAAGAAAACTTACGCTATGATCCAGTCTGATTCCATAAACACCAAGCAATATCGATGTATCCCACTTTCCTATCTAGTAAGAAAAAAAAGGAGGAAATATAATAAGATAACCATTTGGAAAACGTAGAAAAGGTTAGCTATGGACAAGTCATTAGCAAACAAGAGGTTCGCCTATCAACTGGATTGCGACTTGCGAAAGACTAATTACTAGCAAATAGTATTGCATAGATTACCAAGTCAACAATGTCTACTACAAAATAGGATAGAACAAAAACAACTTACTCTAGTTCATTACATCCTATTAAACAGAAACATAACATGAACAAATACATGGGAGGAAAAGCAACAAGTATCAAGAAAAAGTTTGCTGGGTTTCGGTACTCGTGTTCTCAAGATCTTTCTTTTATGTCAGCAACAGAAGCCAAAATGAAAGGATTTGTTGACCATATAGCAGGTCCCGGTTCCCATCAAACTAGTGCTAGTTCATGAAAGTTCCTTCGGAAACAAAAAAAAAGTCAATTTGGGAACATATCTCTCCGTGGCCCCAGTACTAAGTACGATATGGTTCGGGGCTTTAGCAGGTCTATTGTGTTCGGATTGCAGGCTGCAACTCGCCTGCATGAAGTCGGAATCGCTAGTAATCGCCGGTTACTCGTGTTCTCAAGATCTTTCTTTGCTGAAATATTAAAAAAACTCATTCGTGTAAGCAAACTAATAAATTCTTGACTGAGGATCTAGGCTCAGGGATTTGCAGAGTCATATCTGACGGCTACAACTATTCTACATTGTTATACAACTTTGAGCAAAGTATATCTAAGAGGTAAGTGCATCTAAGCATCTAAGATGTGTTGAGGCCTGGCTTCTTTCAAGGATCAAAGCAACTTGCATTCTCAGTTCACATTAATCCACCGCCTCTGTGGGTGTATAACTCCCAGCTGGTCAATACTAGCATACACTATTTCAAATTTAGTTCAATTTCCTAATATGGAGACGAAAACCCCTAAAATTCCAGACTAAGTGAGTGAAAAATTAAGAGAGGTACTAAATTATATGAGCTCTAGCTACAAATGGAACTTACGGGGAGGATGAGAGAGCAGAGAGCGAGGGAAACGACGGAGGACACGGCTGCGCACGCGAAACGCCGTATCATAAAGGATGTAAAAGAATCCGGCGGGGGTAATCGGAGAATCAGCGTAGGGAAATACAGAACCGCAACATAGAAAACGGCCATGGCAGCGCACGCCGCCACGGCCGCAGATTTCGGCAGATAGACGCCGCCTCCGCCGTCTTGCTGCTGATCCATCGGCGTCGGGGCACCGTAATCAATCGGTAAAGCTCGACCGAATCCCGCGAGTATGTCAGTCGCACGCTACTGCTGGGAGTGTTGACTTGCAGTCTCTGAGAGGGAATTGATCCGAGATATGGGCTGCGATGCGTCGGGTTTTCATTATTTTGGGCCAGTGTAATTAGGCTTTTTAACAATCAATTTTAACAAAGCCCAATTACTGATATACGATGGGTTCAGAATAATCATGGGAAATTTTTACCCCTCCCACTAGATATTAAAATATTTTTAAATTTACCTTAAGGAAAAAGTATTTTCATCTATACCTAAAACTGCTCTTTTATTTAATAGATTGCATCCAATCGTGATCTTCCATTCAGAATTCATTCAGTTACCTTGATTTCCGCCACAATCAGGGGAAAAAAAACGTGATCTTCAATTCAAATTCGAGTCAATCCCTACTTTCACGCAACTTGTACAAGCAGCCGCTAGGTAGTATATTTTAAGTTTATGTTAGTATATGTCCAGTGTATGTTGCAATATTATAATTCACGCAGCCGCCAGGTGGTATATTTTGAGTTTATGTTAGTACATATTCAGTATATGCGCAATAAAAAACAAGTCTTTCACAAAAAAATTATATATATATATATATATATATATTTATATTTTTTTTTTTACTTTTATACATAAAAGTATATACAAACATATTATAGCATTTACTTATATTCCATATACAAACAAATATTCTAATATGTTTGAACATATATTTAACATATACTCCATATACACACAACATATACTGAACAATAAAAAATTATGCCTTTTTTTCTTTTACTTGAAATATACGCAAAAATATACTGAAAAAAACGAGGACATGAAATTTTATACCGAAAAAAATATGTCTTCTAATATACCGAAATTTTGGGGGGGAATTATTACCTGACATACACAAATAAAATACTTCAAATATACTAAAAATGTGTAACATGTACATAAAGCCAGTGACAAAGTGTATAGCATAGAAAGAGAAAAGATACTTGGATAGAGAGAAAAGTTACCTCGGATATACCCACAAGATAACCAGATAACCAGAGAAAAGTTACTTCGGATATACTCGGATATACCCAACATATAACTCAAGAAAAAAAAAGAATTATTAAACAGATAACCAGAGAAATTACTTCGGATATACCCAACATATACCCAACTCAGTTTTGTAAATGAACTGGAGAGGATAATATTCTCTGCACAAAACCAATCACTTTTCTCTGGTTTTCGCTAGATCTCACCATTCTCACTCTCCAGTACAAAAACTTTTTGCCTAATCCCGATTTCAATCACCATTCGATTAGTTGGTAATAACATAATAATTTGCTCCCTCTAGTGAAATAGGTTTTTAAGATCTAATTTTTAAGCAACAACCCACCATCATCACTTTCTCCCTTATCAATGGGTGCTTCACAGTCGGCTCAAATCCCATCTGAAGACGAGCAGCAAGGAGAAGAGGAAGATGAAGCCGACGATGACGTGGAAGGCGACGACGACGTCGAACGGGCGGTAGCCTCCGCCATGCTTGGATCCGGATCAGCCTCTTCGTCTTCTTCTTGAATGAAGAAAAAAGAAAAAAAAAACCCAGAGAGAGTAAGAGAGAGAAGGAGAAGAAGAGATCGTTGATTGAGAGGAGAGAGAACCGAGAAAACTTGAACGGTTTATGTGATTTAGGTAGATTTGATATTTTTTTTGCTTCTTTAGCTAAATTTAAAAATAAGTATAAATGAGGTGGAAAGGTGTAATATAATTTCTAAGATTTAGTAAGGGGTGCAATTTCCTCAATAATCAAACGTTTCAGAGAAACTTGTTTTACCAATTTGGTCTCGGGCCCGTTTCTTCGACGGGCCTTGTTTCACCGGCAGCCGGAAACTCGGTTCCGCTCACTGGAGCTTCTAGGTCATGACAGCCCCGAACGGGCACTCCCCCGAGCCTCCCCTCAGCCCTTGGGTCCTTGCCGACTTCTACTTCGGCGTCTCCGGCCTCCGTCCCCGATCCTTTCGAGATGTGATTATGGTTGTTCTGTCGGCAAACAGGGACGTCAGAGATTCTTACTCGAAAATTTTTAGGGTAAGCGCAGTGAGACTGTCTCGCGCTCCGTTGAAGGACATTTCAAGGTAAATCTTCTAGAGCCTGATGTTTCTTCTCTTGTCGGGCCGTACGACAATGTCTTAATTTTTAAGTTCTCTTATATTGTCCTTAATCTCTGAGATTTTAAGTTTGGCTTAGGAAAATTGGGGTAAAAGGGTAGTTCCACACCAAAGTACTTTAATTACAATCATTACCTAGTCACCTTTAATTTTAGAGATGACTACAATGAGGCGTGGCTCAAGACATCCGTGAATGTATTTGGGTGCACAGGGTGCACATTGCTTATTTCTTTTCTTTTTATTTTCAATTTTCATATTCTTAGTCTATTTCTTTCTTCTCCAGTATATTATATTTTTTTCTTCTTATTTAAAATTTAATAAATAAAGTCCAATAATTAATATTTTTGAAAAATAAAAAGGTTCAATACAAGTACTTACTTTTCTTTTTTTTTTCTATATTATGAATTATTGTTTAATTTTTATAATAATTTATTTAATTTAAAATTAATTAATATATATAATTACTAAAATTATATATTTATAATAAAATTAAAACACTGAAAATACCAATTGACCATTTTATGGCATCATTTATTATTTATAGTATTTAGAAATATGTATTTAAATTTTAGTAACATTTAGAAAACATACGTACTCAAAATTTTAATTTTCGACAGTATGTAATTTAATACTTTGTAACTTTTAAATAAAAAACTTTAGATCGGTGCGTAATTAACACTCTGAAATTCTATATTTATAACACCCCGCTATTTCATGAATTTCATAGTGCGCTTTTCGTAAATTTTCTAAACAACTGACACACAACTAAACTTGAAATAATATTTACTGAACAAATAAACATAAAATGCTCGAAGGACTACTGAATAACACAATCGCTAAGCATGCACGGCCCGTGGTACGCGCTACGTGCGCGACCACGCTCCTCGGCCGAATCACCGATAAATCATGAAAATTCTTCGAGCAACATGAGTTAACTGAACATAATATGGCATGACATGACTGAATACATGAAGTTTGCTCGAGATATTTGAATTAAAACATGACATGCTCGACATGGACTATACACACGGCGAACGCAATATAAAGCTAACTTATGAACTTGGCTTAACCAAACCAATCTAATCATGACTTTAACATGATCAACAAAGGTAAATCGAAGTTACCTTCTCGAACACTCGACTGATCGCACTAGCTGCTCGGGATTAATCGGAACCTCCGTGCGTGTGTGCTTGCTACACCGTGCGTGCGGCTCTCGGCGCTTGTCTTGCAGCTAAACTTGCATGCGGTATTAGCTAAGGCTATCTCACAACTCTCACTTCTCTCTATACTAAGTATTGCTTAGGAACATATATATATCAAGTATAAGGGGAAAATTTCTCCCCACACATAACATATATATACATGCATGACCGAAAGCAAAGGGGAGGTGGAGGCTTTGTTGGTTTCATGACCTCATGACACTTGCCATCATTAGAATCACTTTGATGCTAACTCACCCTCAAAATAGCTTAGTCATGAGCTAATGGCTAATATTAAGACACCTCATACTTAGCTCACATGATAATTATCCCTTAAAAAAAATTGCTGACGGCTTTCTTAAAAATAAGACAAAATCCTACGGCATTTTATGTCTCAAGCTTGATTAATTCTCAATTAATCATAATTAAGTGCTTAATTATTTAATTAAGCATAATACTTAATTACCAAAATTATTCCGAACGTAAACGTAACTTCGAAAATAATTTTGGGTAATCTCGACTGAAATAATAAATTCCGGAAAATAATACTCAACAATATTATTATTTCGAAACCAAATACATGACTTATATAATTAATTAGACGGGATATTACAATCCTCCCTCCTTAAAAATTTCCGTCCTCAGAAATTCAAAACGCAACTGAATATACATGAACTATATACATGAAACATGAGAATATATACATCAGAACTGAAAATCGGGAAAACGAGCGCGAATGTCAGCCTCCGACTCCCAAGTAGCTCCGTGGCGATCCCACTGAATACGAACGAGGGGAACATCTCGCTTCCGGAGCCGACGAACCTGACTGTCCAGTACAGCTACCGGTCGCTCCTCGTAAGATAAGTCTGGCTGAATCTGAATATCTGTATGAGGAATGACATGATCAGGGTCGCACACGTACTTACGCAACATGGATGCGTGAAAAACATTATGAATGCCGGATAGCTCGGGAGGTAAGGCTAATCGGTACGCGACTTCGCCCACTCGCTCGAGAACTTCGAACGGGCCAATGAATCGAGGGTGCAGCTTCCCTCTCTTCCCGAATCGAACAACTCCGCGAATTGGACGAACTCTGAGAAAAGCTGGATCGCCAACCTCGAACTGAATATCCCGTCGATGATGATCGGCTGAGGATTTCTGTCGACTTTGAGCTGTCTTGAGTCTCTGCCGGATCAACTCGACCTGATCTGCGGTTTCCTCGATCATCTTCGGACCGAGTACTCGACGTTCGCCGACGTCGTCCCAATAAAGAGGGGAATGACACTTACGACCGTAAAGTGCTTCGTAAGGAGCCATCTGAGTAGAAGAATGATAGCTGTTGTTGTACGCGAACTCAACGTACGGCAACAACGACTCCCACTTAGCACCCCTGTCAACAACCAAAGCTCGTAACATATCCTCTAACGTCTGAATGGTCCGCTCGGACTGACCATCAGTCTCCGGATGGTAGGCTGAACTGAACTCTAGCTTCGTGCCCATCGCCTCGTGTAAACTCTGCCAGAATCTACTAACGAATCTGGGATCTCTGTCTGACACGATAGTAACGGGCACTCCGTGAAGTCGAATGATTCCACGGGTATATATCTCAGCCAACTTA